TGCATTTCAGGCACAAGTATTTGCTTGTAGAGTGACAGCCTCTGATAAAGGAACCGTTTTACTCACTCACTTCGCCTCTCCCCCTCCAGATTGTCTGGCTTCTTTAGCAACAAACTCTTACCCACAGGGTGCAAACGTTCGTCCTCCTCATACAACATACTCTGGTGGCCATGCTCCTCTCACCAGAGGAGCCCCTGGGAAAAGCACATAAGACGCTCCACTCCGTGACCTACAACATCTGTTGCTAATATGGGTCAGTTTTATCCACAGGTCTCCAAAAAAGGAAAAAAAAAAAAAAAAAAAACTTGCACATGACAACTAAATGAAAAACACAAATGGCATGAATCAACCAGGCTGCATGTTATTTCCCAGCACTTGTATCAACATGCTAGGGAGCCTGCTGAGCTGTGAAATATCTAAGCTAGGACGCCCGTTGGTTCTTCTCAGCTCCAAAAAAGGCTCTTCCTGGGCCAGGGTCATGCGAGGAGAGAGTGAGAACCCCACAGAGTATTTACTGTACAAACAGCAGTCGAGTTATCATGTCTGGAAAGTGGTATTTGTTGTGACTGTTATTTGGTGGGTTACTGAGAGATAGCGAATTCAGCTGCAGGGTAAATGGCAATGAACATTTTCAGCAGGCGCCTTGAATTGCCTTGAGTATTGTGGGGATCTATCTAAAGTCTTAAGTAATAATGTGAGGTAGAAAGTTTTTGTATGAAGTGATAACCTCCTGAGGCGAGACTATAGAGGGCCACATCCATCAGAATTTCCATTCATTGTTATGCAAGGGCAGCAGCAGTTCATCCCACGCTGCAGTTTCTTGATTAATGCAAACTAAATGACTCACTTCTTGACAAAAAAAAAAAAAAAAAACGCACTATCACCCATTTCAGAGTCACATTCCAGCTATGAAAGCTAGATTTTGAATGTGTGTGGGGAGGGGGAGCGACTGTGTGTTTATGTTTTCACCACACAAGAGCCATGAGAGCCCTTTTTCTTATCAAGTACCATGACCTCTCCAAACAGCGAGAGCTCTGCTGGTATCAGGATTCAGAGGAGCACAAACATCTGTACTTGACATGAGTGAGCAGCTAATTGTTTGTCAGACTGTGATTAAGTGCATGAGTGAAACTTTGAGGAAAGCACTGATAAAGATGTCCATTAGCTTTAAATAGAAGCCAGTCACCATTCCCTGTACGTGGCAGAAGTTATTGTTAATAGAAATAATGGTGGTGGCACCGTTTGTCAAATAATGCCTCTTCCAGTAAAGTACAATTGCGTCTAACACAAGACCTTTAATCCTCTGCTGCAGCTCTGGGCCCACTTTAGTGTTTTGTTCTTCTTCTGTGGTGCATGAAGACCTTTGGAGTCCTGTGTTACAATTAATTTTCTGTTCATTTTGTGGCAGGAAGTCGAGTCAGATGGCGTTTGCCATAACTTTTCTTCTGTGAATTGCCTTCTTGTTCCAAAGGTGCCGCCCCCCCCCACCCGTCTCAGACGATATGAGTCTACTGACCTCTAAATAGGGAAGTTTTATGCAGTTGACCTTTGACTTTTTACGTCTCTGTATTTATGTCTGAGAAAATAGCGAAATTATGACACTTAACACTGTCGCCTACATGTGTCTGGAGCTGCTCTGTGAAGACTGGGGGCCATTGAGGCACAGGTCAATCCATGACACCCTTCGCTCTTGTTTAATAGTGACGCACTGAAGCACAGTCATCCTGACGTGCCATGAAGATCTAAGAAATGCCATATTCAAATGACCTGTGAAGCCTGATTTTAAAGTAGTTTCAGTCTGCATTGAAATTCTGCTCTCATTTCTTTTATGAGCATTTGATTACAATAATATAAAGAAAGAATATACTGTGTAATTCTACGTGCGATATAATTTGAATAATTGTGACGTTAGTTAATGCTAGACAGGATCTTAACTCTGTGAGATGTCAGTCAGAAACATATAGAGGAGACAAGACTTGAGCTGCAGATGCATTGATAATTGGTTGAAACATTCAGGTTTGAACACGTCTATAAGCAGTGATAGTGCGCCCCCCAGTGGACGAGCACTAAAACACCAGTTCTGCCTCTGAATAACGGCACGGTGACATCCAACTTAAAACGTAATACACGCCATGGCCTCTGGTGTTAAAGCACCGGTGTGTTTGGTTTTGTTTTGTTTTGTTTGTTTTTGAGTAGGTCTTTTGTATAGAATAGGTCTTGCAGATAGACAATAATCTCTTTGCAATTATCCAAATGCAGTCCAGATGTCACGCTGCAAAAACAGACGGTGTCTCAGTCAATTCAGAAATGAAAACAAAAAAGTTCAAACTTAATCGAATAAACACAAACAAAATCAAGAGTGGTGGAAAAATCTTGCTACCTTTACAGTCACACACAGCCTCTAGCCTCTAGATCAACCTCAACTAATTTGGGTGTCACCTCTTCAGCCTGTATCAGTGCTTTTTGACATGCGTTAGCTCTGAGCTATGTGTGAGTAACAGCTTTTCACAATCATGTGTTGCAGGGGGGGTGGGGGGTTTGTCTTGTACACGTGGGGCGAGCAGCAGCCAGCAGCTGCCTCTTTGATCATCCTCCTGATGTGTGGTCACAGTGGTTTCACTCCACTCTTTTTGGCTCAATCAAGGGCCCTTGAATGTAGCGAGGTCCAACTTCCAGAAAACAAGAAGCTGCCCGCTGCAGAGGCACCACTGAGACCCAATCAATGAGCAATCACATTGCCTCTTATCTATTTGGCTTGGCTGGATGTGGATGTTAATCAGTCCCATATCTCAGTAATGGTGTTCCTGTTAATTGCCTCCCTTCGTTGTAGCTGTATCCCCCATGCGCTTATGATCCTTATCTGCAAATGAGGTCAGAAAGTCGTATGAATCTTGTTTCCAGCCTGGCTCTGCTGAATCCTGACAGGGAGCGGTTGCTGGCCATGTGGCCCTGCGTTTAAAGCTGTCCTAAGATCAAGGCACTTGTCGCTCCCATGTGTTGATGTCGCTGATCTGTCAGGCCTTGAACTTGTTCATTATGATCCTTGTTTAAGCCGAGCGTCAGTTCTCCAACAGTGTCTAGGATACAGTGACTGCTTTTCAGAGCATGTCAAAAGTATGTTTTCTCAAATAGGCAGATTTATTCACTGTTATCATGAGTCAGTTCCCCTGGAGAATAGCGTGATTTGCACATTCACTGCGCCTTTGCATCTGATGATCTCGTTAGACCTGGCGACGGTGTGATATCTGAACAGCTCTGGGGCAAGTCAGCCACCCGTCTGCGTGGCATGCAAATACAAGAAAATAATGCATATCAAAATTTGGTTAATCGCATCCTGCACCATGACTGGCCTTGACTGACCTGGCCTGGAAAGACGGTACTAGTCGAGACTGAGTTACGAGTTCAAGCCTGCTGCTGACACAGCATGACAGAGATTGAAAAATTAATTTGACAAATGAACTATGATGCAAATATGTGTCTTTGGAGATGGAGATCCATGTAGATTGAAGGTCAGCTGGGTCACACTGAGTCGTCTTTTGTTGCCTTCTCCCCAACCTCCAACCCTTAAAACCGTCTTTCACTGCGAGGGGGTTAACTGTCATTTCTTTCGAGCTTTCTCCTCATGCATAAATAAACCTGTACCCTCCTCCCCGACCAACCCTTGGGCCTTGGTCCAGGGAGCAGAAGGTCTAAGGGCATTCCTCCATGAAGACTTTTCCTTTTCTAACTTTGCTTTGATTTTACGCTCATTATCCCCCCTGCAGCTCTGCCGCTCCTGGACAAGACTGGGCTGCCTGATGAAGCTGAGCTAAGCTTGGGGTGGCAGGAGGGGATTGCATTGTCTCCCTACGTCCCACTGCCACAGGAGAAAAAAGGGGGAGACATCATTATCCCCAGTTTTCTGCAGACCAAATCAAATTAGCAGCAGAGTGCTCCTGAAAGCAGACATTCTCCAAAGTGGGACGTCTTGCCTAGTCAGTTCTCCTCATAATCCTTTGTTATTCGGCGGTGCCCAGCTGTTGTGCTGCTGCTATCAAAGCAGAGGACCTTCCCTCCCTGATCTTCAACCTCCTCGCCCCTAATGATGCCCTCAAGGCTGGGGGGCTAGAGGGCAGGTGGCAGGGTGAAAGGTCATTCTGGACGAGACGAACTCCTCACACCCTGATGACTTCACTCATCTTGTTTGAGGTACAGCACAAGTTAAAAATCCACAAAGATTTGTTGTTACCACAGTGATGAAGGAGACAGAGCGGTTTTCAGGATGGTTCATTAACTGAGGGAAAATTAGGAGATGAGATTATGCTCCATGAGAAAAAAAACTAAAAACAAAACCAATCTGGTACAAACAGCAGGTGTTAAGTGGCAGACGCTGCTCATTATAACTGCTGGAATTTGAGAATACATGCTTGAAAAAGCATTTTTGTCAAGTCAATTACAAAAATGAATCAACACTGTGGGGGAAAAACAGATTTAAAAATGTAAAAAATATGAAAGTACTACTTATCATTTCAATAAGTTTTTTTTTCATAAGTTTTAATGCAATGCAAAAGAAAACTACTTAAACTATAAAACTAAAAAACATGGCAAAAACACAGTGAATTAACCATGTGCTCTCTCCCATTATTAACATTAAGTAACTGAATATCTAAATGGAAACTCACAATACATTCACAGCTTGAGAAAACAAAAAATAAAAAAAAAGAATAATAAAAAAAAGAATTAAACTTTGTGCTACAAATCAAACTACAAATTAATTTCATATCCTGAAAATTAAAGTAAAATAAAAAACCTAAAGCTTGCTGCAAAAATACTGTGCAATTACTCTGGGTCACTATCAGATGATACAATACTGACCTCTAGTGGGGTTTTAAATAAACATCAAAGGTGCCTTGAAAATGTAAATTGCGCAGTGGTGATGGAGTTCGGATGGCATTCATATCATTCATCAAATGATCACAAATGTGACCTGTGTCACGGTGTGCCTACTGGACAGGTTTCGTTCACATCTCTGCATGAGTTCCCTCTCGGACTGGACATCGTCTTCCAGCCTGAATCACCCCTGCTCTCTGAATGGGTCCAAAAGGGTTAATCTTGGGTAAGCTGGTAGCAGTTTTTATGCCGTACTCTAGATTTGGTAGTGACTTCGTGAGAATGCGCTCCGGAGCCTGTGGCCCCTCTTTAGCACCGACCCTCTTGATTGCCCTCTGTGTGTCAGCAGTGTGAGTCTGTGTTTCTTTAGAAAATAAGCAGTGATGGTGTCTCCTCGTGGTGTCAGGAGCAGTGGTGACATCTGTGTTTGTTATAGTTTGACTGGTGCCTCTCTGCAGAATATGGACACAGGTCTTGGCCCTCCTGTGTTTCAGGGCCTGGATGTCAGAGTGTAGAGGATCCTGAGTCATGCGAGGACCCCAGGAATCACGCAGCCTTGCATTGCACTCCATGTTGATGCTAACTTCATCCGTGCACTGCGCCCTCTGAATGGCACTGACTCTGAGGAGGATGGAGTCACGTGTCAGAGGATGATGAAGACCTCTCTTCTTCATCCGTTCACACGTTGCCTTCTCGCTAAGAATCACTGACTGTTTAGCAGCCCCACCACTGACTATAAAGGAAATGTTTTGTTTAAGGACAAACTGATCCTACAGTATATTACTTCTGACATACTTTTTTGCATGCTTACCTTGTGTTTGGCATTTAGTGGGGGTAAACAGGAAGCGGGTGTGGTAACGCAGCTCTGCTCTCTCTGGCTTCTTGCTGTCACAGTCGTGCATCTTTCGGCTGGGTGAAGCCACCTGTGCTTTGTGATCTGCCTCGAAAGAGGTGCAGGGAAACTTTCTGAGTGAAGCTGCACATTTCTCAGAAACTGAACCATCCTGAGCTGGCACATCGCCCTGGCTTCTCTCTGCTGACTCCCAGAACACTTTGGCGAACTGGTACAGCCTCACACTGGATGTTGTGTTCACTAATATACTAAATGAAGGCAGCGAGAAAAAAATACGAGACAGAAATGTAAACTTGCACTGATATAATTATAAGATCAAATAAAAATAACACAATAATAAAAAATAAACATGCTTTCGTGGGAGGGTGTTTGCCTCACCTGTTGTCATGGAAGTGCAGGGACAGTAAACCGCCTGTTTCAGCCTCTGCTGTGATGTCTCTCAAACAGTCTCCAGTGAGGAAATTAAATATACGAATCTTCCCGTCCACGCAGCCAGTAACAACACGCAGGTACACAAGGGTCAGAGATTTGACCTCCCTGCTGTAAAGGTTATTTAGGTTTATGAGTGTACTGTAGTTAAAAATTAAATAATTAAAAAGACAGGCAGAGATATTTCACATATTGTGTTTAGGTGGTGATACAAAAAGGACATTTCTATTGGTTGCAAATGGCTAATATTGACAGGAATAAGCAGCAGGGGAAAAAAAGGTGACAAAAACATATTTAAATATAAATTTTGCATATCAGCCTCAAAGGTTTCTTGCTTACTTTGGGTGGCTGAAGGTCATCAGACACTCTTTAGCGTGACAGTTGACACTCCAGGCCATGACTTGACCGTTTACGTCCCCAGAGAGAAGATGCCATTCGTCGAAGAACAGGCACTTCACTGACTTCCTGTGGGCATCGATCACCTGGGGGATTACATAAAAGAATATATATATATATATATATATATGTATGTATATTTATAGAGAGAGAAAGCGTTCTCCACTGATGACTAATATTCTCACCCTGAGCAGTGATGCCTTCTCCATGTCCCATATTTTGACAAGGCCCCGATCACAGCTGCTATAGACTGTGGTTGTGTTGATTTTCACACACTGGATAGAGCTTGGGTGCTTGAAATTAAAATCCTCAAAACGATTTCCTGTTTGTAGATTCCACACTGGCGGTGCGGTAATAAAGTTTAGTTCATTTGCACATATCAAAATTTAAAAAGATGAAAACACAAATATTATTCCAGCAGAGCCACAAAAGCCTGAGGAGTTAATCGTGTAGCCCCTCTTGATAAGTGTACTCAAATTTTATCGCAATAGAAAATATATAAACTTTTCTTGAACAGTGGTTTGAAGACCTCAAAAGAACTGAAGGTGTTTGCATGATGTTGTGAGCATGGTTTGCTAATTTAGGCCTGATCATAACTGAGCATCAGCCGGCATGCCTAGTATTTATTAACCGTTGTTTGCTTGTCAGCTCTGCCTGCTGCTGGTGAAGGTAAAGTACAGCTTGGAAAAACTACCACCATGCCTCTGTCCTTTTCTAGAGTAACTTTACCCTTATATATGTTAAATATCAGTGGACTTCCTGCTTTTGGCAATCATATTTGCAAACCGAAAAGCATGGCACTGGTCCTGCGAGAATATCTTTGTTTCTGCATGGTCTTTACATTTTGTAAGAAGCACATTTGAGTAAAACCCAGAACAGGTTATTCCATGTTCCAGATTTGATGATGATCCGCGTTTGCTGAGGCCCATTGCAGCACTGTGTATTGTGATTAATAGTAAATGTGTAATTTTAAATCTGAAAGACTATAAACATCCTACAAAGGCTGCTCACCTTTTACTAAACAGTCTTTAGCCCCTGAGACAAGCCTATCAGCGTGGACATCCAGGCAGTTGACAGTGCCAGTGTGACCATACAGCTCCATCTCACACCGGTCTGTCTTCAAACTCCAACACCTACAGTTGTGACGAAACACCAAATAAACACCCACACCATTGGATCTACTTGATTCATCATCACCTTAAAAATAAATTCAACTCATAAATCTGAGTTATGATGACATGCACTAACGTTCCATTGTCCTCCTCACCTGATGCTGGCGTCACAGCTGGCAGTTATCACCAGGTCTCTGTCCTCACAGAGCAGCACAGCCCGGATGCTGCCAATGTGGCCCTTCATCACAGACACGGCTTTCGTTTCTGACGCCACATAAAACAGATGCACCGCACGGTCCTTGGAACCCGTGGCCATAAATGATCTGCCTCTGTAGTCCACCACCCTGTGAGGGTCTTCTCTGTCAAATCCAAACACGCAACCACACCTGAGTTACATCAGTTGTATGAATGAATGTTTGTTTTAAATCCAATGTGCAGCATTTCACAAAAAAGAAGGAAACTGAACACTAACTTGTTCAGCAGCACTTTGGTAAAATATGCACCACAATACACATTTCGCTCTTCCATTTGTACGGTTTTGGTTTTGATTTTGGCATAAGCAGCTTCAAATGGTTTGACCTGTGAAACCAGTCAAAAAAAAAGATAATCAATGTATTGGTGCATCTCCAATGTGGTGCAAAAAATTAGGTTTATGGATTTTCAGGGTTTTGATCTGTTAACCTTCTGGACATTGGAATGAATATCAGCTCTCTCATCATCCTTTGTGGGAACAAGGACTTCAACGATGTTGGAGTAAGTAGGACTGACTATGTTAAAACCGTTGCACCTCTACAACAGAAAAAAACATTAGTGATAATGTAATTTTTTATTGAAAGAACTATGTATGTTGCTGTCTCCACCACTGCGAATTTGTTACATCAGATAAATTTTCAAGAAAGTTTTAATTTTTATGTATTTACAGGATATTACTAAATCACATAAACATAGAAAATACTGTACCTTCATCATCGTCTTAATTTGATCCTGGAAATGTCTTCTGAACTTGATTTCCTCCATGGTTTCTTTTGCAAGGTTCTGCCAGTATTGACAAACCTTCTCGCAGCGTCTTAAAGTATGTTCCTCTAACAGCCCTGTTAGGAGACACACATGTGCAGTATAATGTACAGTAAGGACAAAAGTGTTTGATTTTTGTTATTGATAAAGATACTAAATGTAAATGTAATTGTCACCACTTCTGCCTGGAGGCCTTTTGTCTGTCATATTCTTCCTCTCAGTGAAATGTCATTTAAGCAGCAGACAGAGGTCACTGAGAGCAGACAGCCACACTGTTGCTTGGCAGGTCTTTGTTGTTCTTATATCCAAGGGCTACCCACTTGAATGTGGTGGATTTAGCAAGAGCATTCTTGAGTCATTTTGTGACATCCCCATGGTGCTATTGGCCTGGTGTAGTTGCTTCATACCAACTTGCGAGATGTATAATATTTTGTGTTGTGGAAAATATGAAACCAACTGAAATGTATCAAGGATACAGCTACAGTACCACTGCACTGTTCCTTTTGAAAAACACTGCAAATGATCAGTGAACTTAGACAGCATGTCATTGGTGTTACCTACATGTGGACTTACCTAGTATCCTCTTTGACAGGTCAACAGGTAGGCAGCCTATGAAGTCTCTGTATCGGCTGACTCCAGACACAGACTTTGAAGATCCAGGCACCACCATGAGAGCAGGGTCCTCTGAGTCTTCATCAGTGTCCTGATCAAACTGATTGGTATTGCGGCTACCTACTGAAAAGGGTACATAATTATTGAGTCAAAATAAACGCTTCAACAATGCAAAGCCCACGTCACTGTATTTATGTCCTACTACCTTTACCTAAAAGGCAAATGCAGTGTTGTTAAATAAATAACAAAAGTAAGACATTGTTTTTAACTCCTGAACTAAAAGAAAACATATAATCATGGGCTTTATCGTGTTGTATTTTTCCCCTTGTTGTCTTACAGTTAAACTGCAGAAACCCTCGTTTTTGCCTGACCAGGAGCACGCTGGTTAGGTTGGACACCATGCGTAAAAGTTCCGAGTCACAAAGTGAAAAGAGACGGCAAAGATAGCATGATTTCATCCAGTCTGGACTGCTGCTGAACCAGTCCCAGACATCATTTATATCCATGCCAAGTGGTTTCCCATCCAGAGCTCGGTCTGTGCTGCGACAGGGGTGATCCTGAGGCGAAGTCGGGCCTCTTGACCTGGCATAAGTGAACAAAGTCCATGATGTTACACCCAGCACATTCTGGATGTTTTCGAGCACTTGGACGTTTCTGCAGCGTAAAAGAAGCTCCACTAGGAATCTCCTCCTGAATTCATCCGACACCTTCCACACACACGGAGTGGAACCCGGTGGTTTGGGGGCAAACACGCACGATGGACACATCCCGCACATGTTGAGACATCCCTCCGCCGGTTTACAGTTGAGTTCGCACGCAGACACACTCCGAATAAATTTAACCGACTTCATTTCGACGTTTTAAGCAGATTGTGGTACTCTCTGTTGGCCACGTCGTTGCCAAGATACAGATGTTGTTTTTGTTCTTCTCACAATACAGACAAACATGGAGACATCATTCAGCAGGTTGCCGGGCAACGACGCACCAGGAAAGAATGGATGCTCTTTTGAGGGAATACCTTGCTATACCATACAGTACATTCAGCCCACAGTTTATTAGGTACTCCTAGCCAAAACTTGACTAAAGCGTGTTAACGAAAATTTGTTGATCTCATAGTTACAAGAATCTCGCGAGATAACAGGACAGGAAGTAGTAAATGAATCGATTTTCCGATTAACAGAAAATTAAGGGCTTTAGACTTGTTGCTGGACAAAACATGAAGGTGTTACTTTATTATTGTAATTTCTCACTATTTTCAGAATCTTTACAAATCAACAACCAATAAATTGAAAAAAATAATCAGCAAATTAATTCGTAATTAAAATAATAATTAGTATCACTTCAATATAAAATAATGAAAACTGCCTCAACCATAACCAAATACAACAAAATCATGTTTTTATATTGATGCAAATAATAATAATCAAATAAAATGATATTGCATCAGTCCCAGGGTCCATTTTCTGCACTGAGTGCTTTTACTTGTAATGCTGTGAGTACATTTCCTTATCATACTTACATACTTTTACTTATGTAATACTTTCAATGCTGGACTTACCATACGAATTTTGCTAGAATATCAGTATTGCACAAGCTTTTTCATTACCAAGCAACCAAAACTTTCTTCCAATGAGAGGTGCACTAAAGTAAGTTTGTAGCAGTAGATAGATATAGGCTATATTTAGCCTACTGTATAACACCAAATTGTTTGGTTTTATTCAGTATAGGGTGTAAAATATACGGTATAGCGCTTTGATATTATTATTGTCGCCGCTGTTATTGATTTTACTCTATGCTTACAATTTATGTCAATTGTAAGAAATAGTGTTGTTAGACTGGGAAAAAAAATCCGTGCGCCGCCCGGGAATCGAACCCGGGTCGCAAGAATGGGAATCTTGCATGATACCACTACACCAGCGGCGCCGTTGATTCGGAAGAAGTCGGCAGTGTTTACATAACTCTAGCCAGTTGCGCGTTATGCTTAAGAATTGTTTTTAGTAAAGTATTCCTCGTGTTTCATATATAAATTTGATGCTGCTGGTTGGACTCGCTGTTAAAGCGCAATGGCAGAAAAACAGCATAAGTAATTCTAATATTACTACTTTTATTTGGAAAATAACGGAAATGCAGACCCTTATGCTGAAAGGGATATTTATTTACTTCCGGGGAAGCGTCCTCGGTCTCGATTAGTTTTGTTTCTGGCTTCTAATCCGAGACCATATGTTAACGGCCAAAAGCAACCGTTTTGAATGCTAGTTAGCAAAGTAATCAGAGGAATATATTCACTGTGATTTGAGTAGGTTCAAAAGTTTACCTACTTTAATGTAGAAAAATTAGCCGGGAATGTATCGTGCTGTTAATGTTGCTTGTGCTTCTGTGATAGCTAGCTAGCTGTGAAAGCTGTGCCATTAGCCATAACAAACTAATGACAGCACTTTTTGCACTGAATCTTATCAGAACTATGGTTTTTCACCATCTTTATGGAATGTAACGTTAGCCTGTTAAACATGTTGCTGATTCTAGTGTTTCTCGATATGGGCTAACATACAAACGCTAGTCGTCACGTCAGCTGTTTTGGTGTTTTGTATTGTTTGTGTGAGCAGCAGCCAAAAGTGTAGCTATAATAATTTCTTTAAATACTCCACAGAGTCTGCACTCATGTCGGGCAGGAGCAACGGTGTGGAATGGGTTGAGACAACCGAAGAGGTTGTTGTTACAGAGGAGTGTCTACCACCTGATGACAGCACCCCGACAGGTATAAGTTTCCAGATTAGATTGTGCTCTTGTTCAAAATTTAAACCAGAGACATAACGTGAAATCATACACAAGTTTCTAAATAGTGTCTTTGTTCTTGTAGTGATACCGGTTTTAGAGCCAGCAGAAACAACAATCCAGAAGGAACTGGACTCTGTGGGGAAGGAAGAAAACCCAGAGGCGGATGATGGCTTTTGTAAGATACTATTTTACCTCTTCTACTTACGCTCAGCTGCCAGTTTTTGATACACTCAACTAAAACTAATGCAGTCCAATACAGCAGCCCTGCAATGAATTGAATTTCCAGTTTTAGCTATTTGTACTTTATAAATTGGCAGCTCAGTGTATTTTCACAGCATCATGGGCCTCATACAAAGTTTCCACATTACCTTGGAAAACTATAGACAGAAAATGAACAAAATGTCATGAAATATGCCCTAGAGTATGACCTTGTAAGACAAAGAGGCCTTGTTCATTTCTTCCTTTTCCTAATTCCAATTTGAGTGTTGAATGGAATTAATATTCCCACTGATATGTGGAATATTTGCGCAAAAATATTCTGTGATAAACAGGAACTGTTGCTTGACTATGAATGTTTAAAATTGTCACTGGTGTATTAATGTGCATGATAATAGTGTGTAACTTATAGGTGGTTTAATACAGATAACCATAAACATAATTTACTGTATTCTTCTATTTTCCTCCTCTTTATATTTCCCAGATTGCGAGGAGTGTCTGACTCTCTTCCAGGACCAGAGTGACCCGGCTAATATTAGTGGCCCTTCTTTCGTTCTTGACTTTCCAACAAGCATGGGTGTCCCCCAGAGGGCCCTCCTCACTCTTCCCTATGGTTTGATGATAGGCAGATCTAGTATTCCCAGGGCGGGTGTTGGGGTCATAAATCATGGACCAATAGTGTCTCCAGGAATGCATTTTGGACCATATGAGGGGGAAGTGACAACAAGTGAAAATGCAATGGCCAGTGACTTCTCCTGGGAGGTGAGCTCAGAAATGCCAAACTGAAATAAAAAAATAAGTCTTGATTTGTATTTGAGACTCATTCTTACAACAACTTCCTGTTTTGGTAATTGGTATGTTTGTGTTGTCTCAACAATATTCTCATTTTCTGTAGATTTGCAAAGGAAAACATGAGTATGAGTATATTGATGGTGCCAGAGAAACACACTCAAACTGGATGAGGTAATGTATTTAAATTATTTCATTATTTAAATGAAACTATATTAAAAATGATCCAAACTGTAGAGAGAAAAAGAAAATTCCCATTTGGATGGCTGTGCCAGGATATAAAACGGAATTTGGCACACACAAGCAACTCTCTGAAGGAAGGCAGGACATGGGAGGTAGCCATAACGTGCATGCAAACACATAGCTAAAAACAAGTATATCAGTGGGTGTAGGTTAGCTAAAGTAGCCAGGTGTTACGTTTTTACTCAAAACCTACCAATACCAAGTTTTGTGTCCTGTCTCTCGTGCTATGTAAGATTTGAATCTGTGGTCGAAAAATATAATCCATAATTTCCATTGTCAGAATGTCAGTGTTTTGTATGTGCTTTGCCTAACATCACGGTGCATCTAAAAATCTGTCCATGTTTATATTCAAGCTCTCTTCTTTCCTCCTACACAGGTATGTCAACTGCGCTCGTAATAAAGACGAGACAAATTTGCTGGCGGTCCAGTTCAAAGGCAGCGTCCTCTTTCACTGCTGCCGCACCATACAACCTGGAGACGAGCTCATGGTGTGGCCCAGCAACAAGCTTCTCACCCATTTTAGTGAAGCTTGGACCCAGATGTGGTTTATGAAGTTGAATTCAGCAGGTACTTACTATCTGAGTTTCACTAGTCACAAAAAAAAGATTTTTTACTGGCTGTTTTTCTATGAACCAGTCACTAGTGTCATTTAAGATCACCATGTAAATCTTCCTTAAAACAGGAGAATTCTTACAATTCAGTATTAGTTTTTATATGGTAAAATTAAGTATGACTAATGTTTTCCTCCTCTCCTCTTAATTGTAGAGAATAATACAACTGCAGAATCACAGATCTTCCTGTGCTCCGAATGTCAGCTGACCTTCACTACAGAGGCCTTTCTCCAGCGACATACAGAGCACTTCCACTCACAGCCTATAGAGGACTGTACAACACCTGCCGCTGAGGTAGCTGAACCTGAAAATCCCACTTCCAATGCCGACTCAGGTCACTCTGTAGCATCCCTGGTGGTGTTATCTGTTGATCCCGTTGAAGCCAAAACATGTGGTGATTGTGGGAAGACTTTCAAGCAAATGCCTCACCTGAGGAGGCACAAACTTTGTGTTCACTCAAACAAGCGCCCCTACTGCTGCCCACAGTGCAGGCGAACTTTTAGCCAGGCCTCTGGCTTAATCAGACACCAGCTAGTTCACAGAAAGCAGACTGTGCTAAAAGCCCCTAATCAAAAGAAAAACTTCAGTGAGAAGACTGAGAGCTTGACACAGAGGTCAGAACTTTTTACAACAGCAGATCCAGCCGTAGCTGATGAAACTAAGGACATGAATGTAAGTGAGAAAGATATGGACGTAACTGAAACTGAGAATACTTCTGCAGGAGAGGCGGAGATGTTCCAATCTAATTGTACAGACTGTGGAAAAAGCTTCACAAATGAAGCCTCCCTCAAAAAGCATAAGGTGACTGTCCATGAGAGGTTACGTCCATATGTCTGCACTGTGTGTCAGAAGTGCTTTGGCCAGTACAACGACCTGACCAGGCACCTGCGGCGTCACCAAAAAGAAAGTAAAAGGAAAGAAAAGTTAAATGAGGCTCCCGAGGAGCAAAACGCCATGCCCTTTAGCTGTGCCGAGTGTTCACTGACTTTTTCTTCAGTGGATACCCTTGAGCAGCACATCAGTGAGCATCACTCAGAGGATACTGCTGTGGAAAATCAAGATGGTGATCCAGTGCCTGCTGATGATGATCAAACCCATGATCCTGACTTCATTCCACAACCCTCAGAAGCCGAAACAGTTGAATCCATCCAAAAGCTTCCCTCTCAGAGGCCTCAGCGACTTGGAGCTAGATCTAGAATTTCTGCCATAACCAAGCTCATTGCTCCAAAACGAAGGGCAGACATCTGCAAGAAGCCATTAACCGGCCCGGCTCAGGCTGAGCAGAGCTGCACTGAACCAAAGGCACCTGCTGCCAGAAATGGAAAGCTAACAAAATATAAGTGGTTTAGCTGTAATCGCTGTAAACGAACATATGGAAACCCAGATGATCTTAAAGCACACAAATGCGCTTTGAGACAGCACAAGTGTGGTCAGTGTGGGGCGACTTTTAACATGTCTGGTTTCCTGAGAAGACATGAGCAGACAGTGCACGCTAATGCAAAATCTTACAGCTGTGAGCGCTGTGATAAAGTCTTCACTACATCTGGGAACCTGAAACAGCATCAGAAGAGCAACACCTGCATGAAGTATCACTGCACGTCTGAGCTCCACTCATGCTCCTTCTGTCAGTTCTCCTTCACGATGAAGAGCTACCTTATTAAACACATCAAGAGGCACCACCCTGTGGAGTATCTATCACACTGCGATTCAGACAACCTGATGGATCAGCTGGAGAATGAGGAAGGGGAAAAGGAGTACACATGCCCCCGTTGCGGGAAGAGCTGTGCGAGCGCCAAAGCTTTCAAATCTCACACGTGCTACCAGCAGGTGAAGGTTCTGTACTTGTGCACCGACTGCGGGAAGGGCTTCACCAACCACTACGGTCTGAAGCAGCACCAGCGCATTCACACAGGAGAGAAACCATACAGCTGCCCTCACTGCAGCAAAAGCTTCTCGTACACCGGCCAGCTCAACGTTCATCTCAGGACTCACACGGGAGAGAAGCCGTACCTGTGCACGCACTGCGGAGAGAGCTTTCGGCAGTCGGGAGACCTGAAGCGACACGAGAGGAAGCACACGGGGGTGAGGCCCTACAGCTGCCCCGAGTGCTGCAAAAGCTTCAGCCGCCCGCAGAGTCTCAAAGCTCATCAAATGCTTCATCTGGGACAGAGAATGTTCAAATGCACCCAGTGCGGAAAGAGCTTTTCACGAAACTATCACCTCAGGAGGCACCACCAGAAGATGCACTTGTAATCGGATCACATTGTTAGGACTTAGCGGAGGCATTGTGGGAGAGCTGCAGAGAATTTTTCAATGTCCTGTACATAACATTATTTAAGCTTCAGTTAGTTTAAAGATAAAGCACTTCATATCCAAACAGAATTTTTCTGTTTAAAAATATATTTTTCTGTCTTATGTGAAAGGGAGTGAATTCATCCATTGGATGGGGTTCCTGCAAATAACAAAAAATGTAGAGGAAGATGCACAGTCACGTAAACAAATGCTTATTGTTTCACGTTAACCTGCTTTGAAATAAAAACAACCAGCTTGAGCATCACTGTTGACCATTTATTCCACAAAACATACAATGCAAAGCATGTGCACTGTACAAGCCTTAATATTATGAAAATACTCATAACCATGCCTGTTTTTTTCAATGTCATCCAGATCTACTACTTTTTATTTTTTTTACATGACACAGTATAACTTTGTCTATTGAACGTTGCTTTTTGCATTGATTTTGTCAGTTTTTGTCCTTGTTAGCTCATATTTCCACCTTGACTATATTATAAATATTAAGTAAAATATTTCAGTCTTACCTGAACTATACAAACATACTGGTATGACAGTTGACACAAGTAGACTCAATTTTATTTTAAACTGTGCGTAAATTGAAACAGGTAGAAACCTGGCAGTGTTTTTCCATGTGCTACACACAGCGGTGTCAAGTGCAGCTGCTGGTTAGAGACAAGCTTTTTAAATCTGTAACTTTGCTGCTGGTAACGACTTCTTTAACATCCCAAGTCCACTAATGTTTCTTATATCAGTAGTCCTAACTAATACCAGTTACACAAGTCCTTGACAACATCCATTTTGAGGGGGAAAAAAAAAAAAAAAAAAAAGATCCATTTTCATTTTGTGGCACAGCAGTTGTGGAGGCTTGTCTCTGTGTTTTTTTTTTTTGTTGTTTTTTTTTGAAAGAAGCGAGGGGTTGAAACCGAAGGATTGGTTACTCATTAATGAGTCTTAATGTGTAAAAAATACACAAACACTTCTGAAAGGTAGGCAGCAGGTGGTTCTCAAGGTTAAGTGACAAGACCCCTACGAAGGTTGGGTTACTGTTTTGTACAATTTCAAAGACACCTTCAAAGACTCATTCTCGTCTAGTCCTCTGTTCCAGTGAAGCACCTTGTGTGATGTCTTCTTCAGTGCAATCTCCGTCCAATTTACACATCTTCATCACATAAAATATACAACAACCCTCAATCTCATTAGTTTATATTATGTTAAATGTTATACACATAATAAAAATTTTTACAAACCAAACTGATTGTTAAACCACACAGTATCACGTCTGTACAAACTCGGAAAAAAAAGGTCACAAAACTAGGCAAAAGAAAGAGGAATTTGTTTTTTGGCAATTAAAAGCAACAGCCAGGTCTGTCACAAAACCACAAATTAAGGGATTAAATACTGAACTCTGAAAGTTAAAAAAGGAACAGTACATCTAGAGCTCAACAGAGTCTGTGTTTGTGATGATAAAACCGTTCTTCACGTTCCCGTAAATGTTAACAGAAAAACATGGTTAAAAGGGTTAAGTGGCTGAAATACAAAGCCTGAGGACACATATACAGTATGCGACCGGAAACCAAGCTCAGGTTGGAATCAAGAAATACCCTGCAGTTCATTCCAAGTACAATAACACTATCTTCTACTTCATCTGGCGAAGTTCTGCTTTCTGAGATGCGAAACAGAAAAAAGGCTTTTTTTTTTATTTTTTTTTTTTTATAAAGGTTCCGATTTCAGCTCCTCGACCCTGCACTCCAGATCAGCCACCTAGAGCAGAGAGAGGATAATGCAGTTACGACCATGTTCAACCAAGTGACGGTATGTGATCAATACAGTGTACAACACAGCTGGGTCCAAAAATCTGAAATCGGACATTATCTAGAACTGACACACAATATGTTCTGATCTTTATACTTTTTCTGACATCGAAATATATCTGAAGTTTTTTCACATTGTTGGCAAACACACAAATACTTTTTGTTCAAATGTTATTATAATTATCACGTGGTTGCTGCAGTGTGAGTCATGTTGGGCTTTTAATAACTAATACAACATACTGACTAAATATGGTCCCTCTGAGGTTTTGCTGTTATTGCTGAAGCTTCATTGAAAACTATTTTAAGGCTTGTATAAATGCCACAAGACTGACTTAAGAGGCAGTTTTGTGCCAAATTGTTCTCATGAATGCTGAAAAAACAAACAAACTGTCACCTCCTCAAGCTGTAGCTCCATTCACTGTAAAACTGTTCATTCGTTTTTGGTGACGGACCCTTAAATACCAATCTAAATGTCAGGCCAATATTAAGCTTTACATCTTCAGCTATGCAATTAAAATGCCATAAGAGAACCTTTGATTGATAATATGTAATTTCAGTTTATCATCTGATGACTCTTTACTCATGCTTGAATAAATACCAGACACATAGAAAAGGCTTTAATCACAACTCTTGCAAATGATGTCACTGTTGATGTTTGAGACCTAATGTGCTGCTGAAGCTGAAGCTGAAAGCACCAAATTCATTCTGAGACATTATCATTTTCCTTTGCACTTTGCAAAGTCAGTTTTAATCCAGGTTTTGTATTAGAGCACATTAATTATTTATTGTGCTGCCCATTGACTGTATCTGAGAGTAAAAGCTACAAGCACCAGCAAAGTAGGCTAAATCTAGGTCACCTCCAGTACCTGTTCTTGGAGTTGTCCAGACTCCTCTTTGAGAAGGGAGGCCTCAGCCCCAACTTGTGCACAACGCTGGGTCTCCTTCTTCAGGTACTCAATCTCCCTGTTGAAGGCAGCAGACGACAGTGTCAAGGCTGTTCAGCTCAAATGTGATACATCACACATCTCTTTGAGCTCTCATCTGTGTAATGAAGATGTCTTACTTCTGCTGATATTCCTTGATCAGGCGTTTGGCTTTGCTGTACTTGCGCTCCAGGGCCTGATACTGGGCTTGCGTCTCCTTCAGGTGCTCGTCCACCGCCTGACACAGGCTCTGAGCCTCCATCCAGTAGCCCTCCAGCTTCTCCATGCGCTCCTTGTTCTCGTGCAGGGTCTGTTCCAGCTGAGCCTTATCCATACGCCAGCGCTGCTTCTCCTGCTCCGCATGGTGCAGCTGGAGAGACAGGTGAAGCATCCGTTTCAGTAAAGACAGTAAACACTAAATAACCAATGCTTCTTCTTCTTTTAGGACTAGTGTTATCTAGTGTCTAATATAACATAATGATTTAATACTATCTTAAAGTAACACCTTACCTTTCTTTTCAGCTGTTGGATCTCAGCCTGGGTCACAGCATGCTTTATTTGGAGCTTTACAGCAAAGAGAGAGATGACATTTTTAAATACATCTGTTAATATTAGGCACATCAGGGGAAATAAGCTGTGATTACACAGGAAATGTTCCAATTAAGCAGTTGCCTGCTCACCTCTTTGTATTTATGGGCCAGTTTCTCAGGGTCTGTCTCCAGAGGCGACATGTCCTCGTTCTCTGCCAAGTCAAACACTTCGATGGCGCTGGGATACGGCGGACTGACCTCCTCATCCTCATCTTCTTCTTCATCTGTGCCATATTCAGCACCCTGCAGGGATGAGGTTGAGGTAAGGAGATAATTTATTAAATGATGTGCAGTGCAAACGTATCTTCACGCTGCAATTAAGTTTTTTTTTTTATGATTACCAAGTTTAAAAGCTACATCTTGCTTCTTTAACTAATATCATTGTCAATCCAGATGTTGCAGTGGGACAAGATGTGTAGAAGGATCATTTAAAAGTGCAAACATTATCAGTTGTATAGATAAAACTGAATTTAAGGAAGAAAGATTGTTCAAACATCTATCAGACTTTGCTTTTGTTTTTACACTGTACTGTTTTCTGGGAAGTTAAGTGGATTTCTAAGAGAACAAAATGAGCATTTCTTTACATCTATTGTTAAATGTTTGAATAAAACAGAGCAGAAAAATAGGAGAAGGCACTGAAACAGTATTTAATGGAGCTGTTAAAAGCACATATTTCTGCGCTATGACACTAAATGGACACTAGATGGTGCCAAACTCAAAAGAGCAGACTATACTCTCCATTATACAACCTAATGCTTTTCAAGAACCACCCACCATCACCCCCTTTCAGGCAACTTCCTCTCTATTATCATAATAACACTACAGACAGTTTTTGTTCCGTTTATGTAAAAGGAGAGAGAAAAACTGAGACACTACGATTAACAAAGCAAAGGACATCCTGGGTCACAAAATTTGAGTCATCCTGATTTGTCCCCATTTTGGAGCTGAGCTTATCATTTAATCAGACTGATACTACATGCTGGACACAACAGAGTGGCTTTGCGCCAGTAGCACACACAACACAGCCACACCAGAGTCACTTCGGTTGACGACGGTACTGAGATGAATTTCATAATCCTGAAGGGGAAGCAAGGACATACAGGGCCAACCAACAGTTGCAAAAATCTGCCTTGTTTTTCATTTTAAGGCTGAATTTTGTCTGAACGGGTTGATAAGGTCACTTAACTTTATTACTTTTTAATGATGCCTTTGTTCTGTTATTAAGTGGCTTAGTGAAAGACTATGTTTCAGCTGCAACAGTCAAATTTTTCATATTCTTACTTTTAATTTTCTTAATGCATTGAGATAACTGATTGGATGCCCTCTAAATACTGACAAGACAACAGCCGAGCTGTAAAAGATCATGCTCCTCACATGCTGTGTTTTACATTTAAATTCCCCTGCAACAATTTTGAAGTTAGTCGTCTAAATATTACATTGAATTCTCAAAAATCTGTTTTTTGTTATTGCAGCAATGCATGTGTACATGCAAGTGGTGGGGGAGGGGTTGGGGGAAAATGGATTAGTAAGCACTGCACCCTCACTTGTGCACCATGTGTTTGCAGACATTGCACCACCTCTGATTCAAGAATGACAAAAACAAGCCGTGTGGTCAGCTAGATCTTACACCAGTGTTTTGTTTGTTTTTTTTTTCATATTCAGCCCTGAGTGTCAAGACTGACCTCTTGTTCATCCATGTACTGGTTGTAGCGCTGTTCCATCATCTCCCTCTGCCAACGTTCCTGCTCCAGGGTCTGCTGGATGAGCTGGGCCACTTCACTCTGTTCACCCGGCTTCTCTCGCCCGATCACAAACCTGCGTTTTGACAATCACCAGTCCAGTTGAAACATCTGTCACAAACCACTAAACCCAAATCGTGCTCAAAGGGCCTTTATCTGATATGGTATGATACTGTATGTGCATGCTAAATAATACATGATGGCCCTTTTTTTCCCTCCAGACCACTGTGGAGCCTGAACACTGGTTCCACATGGACCATGAGAGTGGTTTTCATATATAATACACAGCTTAGAGTGTTATAGTGGCATGTATTAATGCAGTAAGGAATGTGCTTGCTCTCTGATGACAGAAAACGGTTTCCTGTTTACACATGGACAAAGGCAGTCTCTGTGTTACTGGCCTACTCCTTCAGCTCATTGTACAGTTCATTATAGAGGCTATATGCTTCCTGATTGAGACTCACAAATCTTTGTCCAATTAAAGACAGTAATCAGGGAAAAGTAAAGTGAATCATGATGAAGCCACAATCGGTTATTAAGCCAGCCGCTGCAGCCTTTCAATTTCTGCTGCGCTAACGGGTAATTAAATGTTCACAAACACACTTCCTGCCCCCTGTCTATTTGTCTCCCTGACGTTTTTTATGAATAGGTCTGAGCTCTAGTGCCCTTCGCCATCGCTGCAGCAGATCCATAATGTATGAGCTATCTATGGAGGTCTCTGATCTTCACAAGTCACACAACACTAACAATTACCCCAACAGCCTTGACCACTAAAACCCTGAATTATGAATGAACTTAGATGACAAAAGGAGCACAAAGGGAACAGTCAGCTCCACCAAAACGCCAAAGAGCCAGGCTACAAATAGCCCCCTGGCATTTCAAAATGATACTTTTGATGCCAACTGTATTTGATAATCATGTTTTCTGTGGCTATAGTGTGGAATCTTTGGACCTCATTCAGAATGTCTCCAAAAGGAGCTTTTCAATGCTGAAGGGTATAATCATGACCCTTTGAGACTTGAGATAGAAATCTGCAGTCTGGTGAGTTGAATGGGCAGGATGTGGTAGAAGTCAGTCCTGCATGTAAGACTGACTATGGGTATAGAGGAAACCATCTCTTCAAGCAAGAATGCTGTGTGTCATAGCGAGGTGTGGTGACAGATAGTAAAACAAAAATTATGCTCTAGTCACAACTAACACCTATAGAAAGCCCAAGGCAACTGCAAAATGGAAACTGTAAAAACGAAAGTCTATTTAACTAAGAGCACAGCGGTGCTTTGAGTTAAATGCTAACATCAGCATGCTAACATGCTCACAATTACAAAGCTAGCATGTTGGTGTTTAGCACTCTTTGTTAACTTTTCTGGTCTGGCATGTTAGCATGCTAGCGTTTGCTACTTAGCACTAAACACAAGGTACAACCAAGGCTGGTGGGAGTGGCTTAGGTTCTGTAGGTACTTTGTCAAATTAACTTTGATGATGATGTTGTTACATGAATTTCCCCTAGGGGATAGATAAAGTATCTATCTATCTATCTAACTAAAGGAAAAATTAAAACATCACAAAAGTTACTACAGTTCCTCTTGCAGGTATCATCTGGGCATATCTTGATATCTATGGGGATATCTGTACCAAATTTCAAGATAATCCATCCAATGGTTGTTGACTTATTGTGTGGCTAGATGAAACATTAGGACCAAAGTCAGAATGATTCATCCTCTGCGCACCATGAATGTACAAAATTTATAGTAATCCACCAAATAGCTGTTGAGATGTTCAGTATATAGTCTGGGCTGAAGTGGTGGATCGAGCAACTGACAGACCAACCAACATTGCCCTCCTTAGAGCCACACGGCTAACATTGATTATAAAAATAACACCAGTGTTTAGATGATTTGTGTTTCTTGGTGTTAAAGTGAGTCAGTTAAATTGTAATAAAATCATCACTAGTTAGAGCAACTCTTACTTGACAGTTCCTGAGGTGTTCCTGAGTACAGAGGCGGCAAAGCTCTGGGTGACTCCCACCAAACTGGTGCCGTCCACCTCCACAATCAGATCGTTCACCTGGATCCTGGAGGAGACAGTAAAGAAAGGAGTTTAGGATTTATGGTAACAGTTCAACTATGGCCAAACTCCATTTTTAAGTCCTCGTGCTTGGCAGCAAGACCTATTTGCAGTTGGCAGGGATCAAAATGAGACAATGAACTATCCACTCCTGGAAATAGCCAACGTCAGGTTGACAGATGGTGAACACGGCAACGGCCTTCTGAGTTTGAAGAGAACCTTTGAAATTGGATGTTTCTGTTGTAGAGTGTGTCTCAATCAGGACGATCCAAAATCAATTTAACATGAATAAACGTACCTGCCATCCCTGTGTGCCGCTCCTCCGTCTGTGACCGTCTTAACGAAGATGCCCAACTTCTCCAGGCCCATGTCAGCCCCTGCACCCATCCCGATGATACTGATGCCCAGGCCATCGCCATCTGAAAGAGAGTGGGGAATACCAGACTAGCTGTTACCATACTGTTATTGTAATCCATGTTTGACAGGTTTTGGTTTAAATTTGTTATACTGTCATGTCATTGAGAGTCAAGTATGAGGAATGCCATCAGCCTTGAGATTTACATGTTAGGATAAATTTAGCTAGTAAAAGTGCTAAAAGCAGTACTTGCCCCTTTCCCTTTACCACAGATGAGAACAACATTATAGGTGCACTATTACATTTTCTTGTAAACAAACAAGTTATATTCACATTCATTGTTACTCACCAAAATGCATTGTGTGTGTCCTTGAGGCCAGACAATGCATTTCCTTCCTCATAAAAAAAATAAAATACAATGCCAATCTTTGACTATTTTAAACCATGCATTGTTACATCAAAGTTTGCTTGCTAATAGTCTTTTTCTTCATTGCCTTTGTCTGTGCAACCAGGGACCTACTCATAAAAACACTGCCCCATAGCACTCTACTGGTCAGAAAATCCACACGATACCCTTAAGTACAACCTAATCAATTGATCTTTATAAGTATAATCTACATATACTGCATTTAAAAACCATACCAGCCCCTTTATACAAGAATTGCAGCTTAAGTTACCCTTACAGAAAACAATTAGAAGGAAAGAACAGACAATTTAAACAGTCTAACTTTTTAAATTAACATATATATTCAGGGGCAAGTCCATAAAAACATTCCTAAAGTAGCTTAAAAACAATCCTCAGACTAAAAGGAGGCTATGTGAGCTCTTGTCTGTGTAAGTTTAAAAATTGACAGCAGCTTTCTGTATGAGCAGAATATTGATTAATAGTTGTAATAAAAGCACCTTCATTATATGTGTTCTGAAAGTTAGATCAGAATCAGCGATAACAACCATTTCCTGCCAGAGGCGTAATCTGCTGAGACATTGTATTCATTTGTGAGCCCCGTTTCTCTCTTTACTGTTTTGGACCAACAACCAGAGCCTTTGCTTTTTCTCCCCCAACTAGATTAATGTAGACAGTACACTCACAGCAGCATATCAGTTGAACATGATCACATATGGTATCCCGTGTAACCTGCCCTGTACACAATTCCAAATATAGTCTTCTATAAATATATTAATGCACCATAATGTTGAAGGGATGTTGGAAGTGTGGCTCACTGGGGAGAGATGGAAGGTAAAGCCATTGCACTTTCTTTGCTTTGTGGGAAAAAGGAAGCTTGGCAGAAGGCAGTGTGTGAACACTGAAGGCCTTTTTACTTAAGTAATCACCAAATGTAGGATGTTTTGTTATGCAGCTTCAAAAATAGACAAAAAAGAACGACTCAAACTGTTCAGTGGGAAGTTAATCTGATAAACCTAAATTCATTTTCAAATGCCTTTCCATGAATGTGAAATGTCTTGTATTCTGTTTCCTAATATAGTGTAAATAAACAGTGCCCCAACCAGGTTAAAATAAATACTTGGAATTATTTGTTTGACCAAACTCAGGTCTTTTGTGCACAGCTTTGTAAATGTAGAATTTGGACAAATACTGATGAGAGCTCATAATGCTCTGTACCTTTCTCCAGCTCCACGGGGAACAGGTCCAGCCTCTCCACCCTCTTCTCCAGCTCGTACTCTGCAGATGCTGCCATGGGATCCACGTCTTCATTACGCCTGTCGTAATCCTCGTTGGGGTAGGTGGCAAACACCTGCAGGAGGAGACAGAGATGCCGGGTCAGACTGAGAATTAAAACACTGACAGCCAGACATGGTGTGAAAGGAAAGGGGATTTTATTGTATTTGTACATAAGTTTGGGGATTTCCTTCAAAAAGAGAGTAATTTGTGAAATGGTTTTTCTTCAAAAAAGGGACAGTGTGACATTTTGGAAAAAACATTTATTTGCTTTCTTGCTGAGAGTTACATGAGAGGATTAAAATCACTCTCATATCCGTCCATTAGATATGAAACTAGAGCCAGGAGACAGCTAAAAATTTAGCACAAAGACAGGAAACAGGGGGAAACATCTAGCCTGGATCTGTCCAAATGGTATAAAGTCTGCGTCTCTAAAGATCACTCATTACCACATTAAATGCCATGTGCCTTGTCCATTCAAAAACTTGTGTGAAAACAAGAATTTGTGTTTTTTTGGGGGGCTATGTTTAGACAGAGTCAAGGTAGCTGTTTCACCCTGCTGCCATGCTTTGTGCTAAGCTAAGTTAAACTGTCTCCTGGATGTAGCTTCATATATATATATATATATATATACTGTACAGACATGAGAGTGGCATCAACTTTTTTCAATTAACTCTAGGCCAGAAAGCAAAGCATATTTCTTAAAAAATTTAAAACTATTCCTTCAAAAAAAGCCCCTTCTCCACTGACAGTGGATCCTCTCTGTTGTGTTTTTGCACTGCAAATGTCTCATTGATTCTCTGCTACTAGAAGTTTGCATTTCTGTAGATGCCTCTTTCTTTTCTTTGCAGCCATGGCGACTTATTAATGTTTTGCACTACTACTACCCAGTTCTTCTTACATTGCTTCCAAATATAGTAATTGCTACTGAAAACAGAAAACACGTGACTTCCTGTGCACCATGGGGAGCCTGGTAAATGCTGAATCTCTTGTGTGTGCATCAACAGGTGAAAGAGAGCAAATGTAAATTTACTTACACAGAAATGTTGTAGATTATCACTTAACTATAGATGATTAAATGCAAATCCCCGTCAAACTACACTGCAGTGATTTTTTTTTACAACATATATGCATGAATGGTTCAGTTTTAATCCAGTATTTCAGTTTACGTCCTGAAAATATTTTTCTGCTTAAACTAATACAAATAGAAAAATGGATATGATGTATTCAATCAAGAAGGAACCCAGTTCAATTATGTATGGGCAGCACCAAGTGCTCAGAGGCCGTGGAGTTGAACGCAGCTGAGACAGACAAGCTGGATTCACGGTTTGATAAGAACTTACCACCACCACTTTTAATGCAGGCATAATGAAATTCAGATTTATCGACAATTTCATCTGATACAGCCGCAGAGTTTCCTCGAGACCTCTGAGCCGTATCATTTCATGGCGGTAATGTCTATCACACACACTGGGAGAAAATCAATCACAACCACTGAATTTGCTTCCATGAAGACAGAGGCCTCTGTTTCCAGGGCCCGACTTCCCACATTCACTCTGTCTAACAGCATGACAGTTTACATAACCACCTCCAGCATGCTAATGGAGGCCTTCTGCAGCTGCTGTTCACAGGCCTCACACTCACACTCACACAAACACTGAGAAAGAGAGAGAGAGAGAGTAAGCTGAATCTTTAAAAGCCTCACTTTCAGTCTTCCAAGGTGATTATGCATGCACCACCTTGCATGGTCCACTAGCCACACTAATTCAGTGCTGGACCTTCTTCTTTCACACATTCTTTCCTGTATTTTACTTAATTTCTAGACTTTTCTCTCCACAATCTTTTGTACCTTCTGCTGCGGTGGTTTAACACTTTTTCCTTGAGTCTTTGTTTACTTTATTCCGCGCATCTCTCGCTTCTGTCAGCTGTTCGGTTTTTTCTATTCGTGTTAAAGTAGCATCTTGTAGTTTCAGTGCTATCCCTCAGTCATATAGGCCCCGTCTCCCTAGCAACCCCACAGTAAAGAGCCTGTCAGTTTTGACAGCGCCTTTGAAATGTAACCAGCCCCTCCTCTCTCAGATTTATTCAGTATCATTGTATTTTCATGCATCGTTGAACACTGTACAAGCTCCTGCCTCTATTTTTAAGCCTTCCTCACCAATAAGAATAGAGTTTAAAATGTTATCGCCGTAAGCCACATCACTATCTCATCATCACTGTCTGTTCACACAAATGATGACTGGGCCTAAATTTTCTTCTCAAAGAAGAAAAGTTCAGCTAGGGTTGGCAAAGCAAATTTCTTTACTTCAAATATTTTTGAACTACTACTAATACTTTAAAAACTACTGAAAATCATTGAACTCAAACATGTAGTGCTTAAATAATTACTTAAGATGAGAAGATTGATACCTCTCACTTCTCTCTGCAACATATGAAGCTACCACCAGCAGCCATTTAGCTTATCTTAGCATAAAGAATGGAAACAGCTGGTCTGGCTTTTTTTTTTTTTTTCTACACTCACACTCTCCAGAAAACTGGACTCTGGGAAATTATAATGGACATTTTACCCAATTTTTAATTTTACAGGCTATACAATCAATAAAAAAGGAATTGACAGATTAATCCACAAAGAAAATAATAATTATTTGCAGTCTTACATATATTATCACTTAAATTAAGGTTTCACTTCTGTCATCAAATAGAACCTAACCCTACTGCAGATGACATGATAGCATGGGAACAGCACTGACGTCTAATGGCTTTTGATTTAGGTTACCTTTGTATTTAGAGGGATTAACAGAATGTGGATTACAGACACACAAAATGCACTGTTTGCATCCTACTGTAAGTAACAAAACATACAACAACAACAACAACAACAACAGTACACTCAAAGCCTGCATGTCCACTGTGACACTCTCCCACGGCACCGGTTCACTCCTTGAGTTTAAAGATCAAGAGGCCACAGCTGGTGGCTTGCGGAGCCCTTGTTTTACGCCCACAATGCTGCAGAGGATCAAACGAGGAAGTTCAGCAGGATTTAACGTGGCACTGGAAAAAAAAACAAAAAAAAAAAAAAAAAAAAAAAAAAAAAAAACAGCCATAGACTGGATGTGTGTTGTGACCTGCAGCCTTGGGTGAGTTCATGTGCAGGTGCCGTGATGCAGGCCAGGCTACAATCTTGCCTCACTGACACAGAATTAACACTTTCGCTTCCTGAGGAAAGATTTTCTGCCTCCTTATGGACAATGATCCCACACAGGGCAGACAGACTAATGGGGTCCAACATGATGCAACCTCTTACCCCAACCTCACTTAAGCATGTGAGTAGTAGATGAGCTTCTCGAACGGTGAGGTGGCTATCTTTGGAAGACAAACATTGGGATTAAAGGCAGGGTGGCGAGAGGGGGGGGGGGGGGGGGGGGGGGGGTCGGGCAGGGCTGGGCTGGAGAAGGACACTGTTCCAGTTGTGCAGATAAGTAGGTCAGAGGAGCTAACAGATGGCCAGGAAACTCCTTCCTCCCTCCCTCTGCCTACTAGCCGCCTGGGATGTCCTACAAAAGCTCTGTGGGCAGCTAGCTCGAGCCACTCACCAGCTAACAGATTGTGTTTGCGTCTATAAAGAGCACCCACTTGGACTATAAAGGGTATTAAAAACAGGCAGTAAGTGACAACTAACATTTTACAATGCAGTTGCCGTGACAGAGAGATGGGTAAATGATAGAGCTGCTCTGGAGGCCTCTGCTCTCCAACAGTGTGGTTCTATCTTGATGGCCTCTGGCTACAGTGTAATTGGGTAACACTGTGGTAGTGTAACTAGCAAGTCCCCCACCACCCCCACCCCATCCCACCCCCCCACATCCATCCCACCCCACCCCCACATCCCACAGCAGCATGTCAACTGTGTTTCTTTCCCTCTTAACTCTCCAAAAACACATCTAATTTTGGATTCAGCCAATAGAATGTGTGGAGGTGTGCCTATGGTTTTTCAAACAGAAATAGCGCTTCCACTCTGTCTCTCCGCATACTGTTAGCACCCAACTTTCCACATTTTTATTACCCATTCTATTCTTGCAATTATTTCAACTAGTTTCGGGCATGTGAGCCTCACTACTACTCTCCATTTCTACCCTTAAATGCCCAAAGTGATTTAAGGTGATTACCATGCATAATGTGAGATCTGTGAAATGGCTGTTCTACTGTCTATGTGTGCCTCGCTGTTCTGTATATATGTTTTCTTTTAGGGTCAGAATGCCTGTGTGATACTTCATCAAGCTGTCAAAGTTAGGATATGCAGACCAAAAGAAGCACTTTTCCTGTGAACAGTTTAATGACACACCATTAATTGCTTTCCCAACCACCACAGGTTAAACATGGCCAAGAAGTGGCAGTAATTGCTCTAAATCCTCCATAAAATTGGGGGTTAATCCAGATCCCAGATGTGCAACAGCAGACAGAAAATAAGGATGTGGCCCTGGGTGCCATCGCCCCAACCAACAAAATGGATATGGTAGCTTTGTCACGGTAACGGTTGCATCCACAGAGCCATTCTATTTTGGCAGGCCAGTCTTTATCTCTTCTCTG